ATATAACGAACATTGTATGTCAATGTTATTAATATAACAAATACGGACAAGAACTATATCTCGTTCCATACAAACGCAGACGAGGTGTAACAGCAAAAATAGGAAGAAAAGAAAAAAACGCCAAAGAGACAAAAGTATCTATGGGTGTAACCACTGTTGCGAGGCAACCTAAATAAAGCAATCCGACATCATGACATCGCCGACTAGTCAGAATTCCAAGGATTCTAACCCGAAAATTATGTAATTAAAATATGAAATCAAAAATAATAAAGAATAATGCGCGAACGCGCCGATTGCAACCGATGTGCAACTCGGTAAGGACGCTGACTCCAACACATGTCGAAACGCTGACGCATCAAACAACGTTTCGACACGAGGACCCGCCGAGGCCGCATAACAGCGGACTGATAAAAGAGGGACGAGAGTATCAGGCGCGGGCTTAGAGTCAAAGTCGCGGACGTACAAGTACCGATGCGTAGAACTGTTAAGGAAATATGATAGTTCGCGGGTGATTCGATAATAACAAATACCGAGTGTAAAATAAAAGGTGTTTATTCAAAAACTGGTGACTATTTCCCCTCCTTTCGCCACTTTCCTCTTCGTTGCGCCCGGAGCGGCACAACACTAATATACAATTGGATTAACTGGCGAGGCATATGCGCGTATCGTACTTTAGAGGTTAGGTTTTTTCATGCGTAACGCGTTACCGATTACCGGCGCGCGTCGAAAGGAGAGCAATATCGTAAATCTGAACGACATGATGAGCCCCGATACTCATCGAGTAGCGTGCGCAAAGAGGAACGATCGCGTCGTGTATTTTGACAGTTTCGGTAATCTTCGATCGCCCGACGAACTGATTCGGAGACAGTATGACAATAGAGTACAATCGAACATCCTACCTAATATACGATCAGAGCATCTGCGGAGAGCTGATTTCTTCAACGGTTGACGTGCGATAATTTAAAAAGTTCGACAAAATGCCGCGACGTCTCAGTATTCGTTGATCGCTTTTTTCATCATGTCGCTGACACTTACGCTGAGCGGGAGGAGCAGCGTTCTCGCAGCAAACTATTTTCCAGCTACAGATTGAGCGATGATGAATATGAACTTAATCTAACAATTTTGGAGACTTATCACAACATACCGAATATAAAACACTTCAAACAATACATTTTATTTTGCACAAGATGAGAGAAATTACGATTCCCAAAGGGTCTGTAGGCCATAAATAAATTTTGAGACGTGAGATTTTACAGAAATGTCCGTGACGCGACGCGCCCAATGGTAACGTCTGTGACACCGCGCGCAGCGATGACGAGATTGGGAAATACCCGATAGTGTTCCGCGCAAATTACAACACGATGAGGTGTAAGATTATGCGTCTATAGAATAAACATTAACAAGCCCAACAACATTGGATCGCTGCTTGGTTTCTCGTCGAAGCGTATACTGCAACCGCGAAGATAGCACGAATTGGACGTATCGATCAACATAAATATGAACGTAAACATTATCCGTGTAGAGCAATGTGATCACGGGCGCGTACAGCAATGACAAAAGTGTGCACACGATACACGAGTTTTCATCGATCGTGTCGCTAGGATATAAGATATCAGAAAGGCCGATGCAGCTCATTTACTTGCCAGTTATCGTACGGAGCATTACGGAGCTAACGATACGATAACATTGTTGACCAGATTGAACGATTGCTCGATTTTAGAGGAGAAGAGATCACAGTCAGATTGCACGTACGACGGCGACAGCGATAACGCGAGTCTGACATTTGAGATGCTCGTGTTGAACAAAACGAAGCACGCAGAGAGATAATGCATCTTTTACAAAGAAAATACCGATCGACAATACTCATTCGGCTGCGTCAATAAGAGGAAAATACTCAACGCGTCGAATGTGAAATTTTTGAAATCACTGAGATTCATCGTATGAGCTATCTGAGATGCCCGATATCTTGAACATTGAATGTCAACCGTTCTTTGATGATCGTATTGTCAAGATAGAAACTCACACATACAATCCATATATTAATACGACATTTGGACATAACGATGAAATAAGAATATTTATACAACAACAAGATTTGTACGCGTTGCCCTCCAAAAGTTTTCTCTACGTTGAAGAAAGATTGACGAAGAACAGACAAATTGACTGATCTGATGTAGTATTGGGAAATAATTGCGTCGCGTTCATGTTTAATGAAATTCGATATGAACTCAATGATGTAGAGATTGATCGCAATAGAAACATTGGAGTGACCAATCTTCTAAAGGGCTATCCATCATTGTCAAGTGACAACTTTATAGCTATGTGGAATTGTCATAAGTGACTAACGCGAAAACTCTAACGATAACTGATGGATACTTTAATTTTTGTATACCGCTCAACATATTGTTTGGCTTTTGCGAAGATTACAAAAATGTGATAATTAATGCTCGTCACGAATTGATTTTGATACGAGCGCAATGATAACAATTGCCTTGTGGGAGATCCTGCGATGGAACCGACATTGAATTATTCAAAGTACAGGCGAATACCTCACGTTATGTTGAACGAAGTCAATAAACCAATCCATGCTGCGGATCTTAGAAAGTGGACGATATCTGAGTATGAGTTTCCGTTTATGGGATCTATATGAATACCCTTTATTGCCGAACACGACGAAACATTCCTGGGCTATGAAGACTGCGACTCAGCTCGACAAGCCGTGATATGTCATCTTTGTTCTACAGACTGATAGAAAAAACATGAATGCACATAAATTTGCCTTCAACAATTGTAAATTGATCAACATAAAACTTTATCTAAACTCAGAATTTTATCCGTAATGATTTGACTCTAGATTTTAACAAATATAGATATGCTGCCTTATATGACATGTATTTGCGCTTCCGTATATTTTATTATCAAATTGATAAAATATCATACCGCAAATTGTTACTGTATCACTTTTGCGAATTTTTGTTGTGCAACCATTGACAGTTCGCAGCAAAATGAATCTATCAAGAGTGCCATAGATGTACGATTAAAATTTGAGTTCAAAGAGAATGTACCAGCGAATACTATCATCTTCTGTCTCATCATATATGACCGCGTGATTGAATATAGTCCACCAATGTAGTGCGCAAGATGACATAAATTGCAGAGCTGGTATATGAGATACATTGAAATCAACCGCAGTCTTCTTCTCGACAACAGTCATATCTGTGCCAACTTTCGTAGATCTGCAAGGTTTTCTCATTGGAGGACAATTTGTCGTAAAGGAATTTGTTGCTTTCAAAGAATGGACCGTTCTCTCTCGCTATATTTTCGCAAGCTGTATACCGTGGCATTTCCTCGCAAGTGCTGACAAGTCTCGCGCACGCTGGGTGATACGTCATCATCACTGTGATGGGACGACAGAACGATTCTGTACAGCGAAGCTGAGTTTGATTACGAAAGCTGTGCACGATACGAAAAAAGACGACGACCACGACGACGACGACGACGATGCTATCGTATATGTCAATGGACACGAAAAACGAAAATGGCTGCGGAATTTACTTCTGGACGATGAGCGAGAGCACGTGTACGTCGAGATGCGGATTACGAAGATGTAGATTCTTTTCTGGATGCGGATTACGAAGATATAGATTCTTTGAACAATCTAGACGCTGAATAATATAATTATAAAGATAATAAAATGGAGGCTTTGCTTTATGCTTATAAAATGTTAATATTGTTTAATGAATAAAATAATTTTGAAAATGTCAAAATTATGTAAGTAATGTTACAAATATTTTATTATTGCTTTAAAATTTAAAAATTCTTAAATAACTCATAATTATTTTGAAAGTATAAAAAGTGTTTTTGACTAATTAATTAAATTAAATACAAAGCAGAGTAATAAGAAACGTTCTGATACGATGCAAGAGTCTGAAGTGCCGCACACCGTTGTGCCGATCCTGATCGCGCGAATTCCGCATACGCCCATTCGTTAACTTCAATAGCTCACAGTTCACATTCTACTCATCGGATTGCTTTTTGACAAAGAACTTTTCATCTTAGAATTTCACGGAGAATATGTTGACAATGGGCGATACGCCAGTTCTGGGACACCCTGTATATGTATCGTTGTAGCCCGAATTACTCCTTATATTATTTTTGCAATATTATATTTTATTTTCACGATTATTCTCGAATCTCGGAATAGTCGCTGCTACGCCGGCCGGAAATGCAAGCATGCAAAAGCAAGTCCACAAATTCCAAAGCAGAACGCGAACGAGGAATTTGCGAGAGCGCGCCGTTTTGACCATATATGGTCCGATTTAGAATTATAAGACGACACTACTAGAATACTATAAAAACAGTCGCTAAATCACCGAGAGCGGGCAGTTACAATACGTAACAGGGCAGTTGTACTTTGTCCGGCTAGTTGTTATCAGTAATAGAGATTCATACGAAACATTGTCAAGAAGCCGTACTAATAAATCAGCTACTTAACGAAAATGAGTAATAATATTTGGTCAGAAAAACCTTCCACCTACGATCCTGCTCAGAGTTCTAACTTCTAAGACTTGGCGAATCCGATTTTCCTTAATTACAATCTTGTAATCCAATCCGAGCAACAGTATATATCCATGTATATATCCATTATATATGTATATATGTACACACACACACACACACACACACACACACGCGCGCGCG